CGGGTGCGGGTCCGTGTGGGCCGAGTGCAGCCGGGGGCGGGGAGGCTGGACACGCGTGACCGCTGGAGCCGTCTGCCCGCAAGGAAACGGGAGAGGTTGCACCTTCCAGGCTCGAAGGGCCCTAGGGCGATGGTCCTAGCGCTGTAGCTTGTGTCGTGCCATTTGGGGAAAGCACCAGCAGGAAGACCAAGAGGGAAGGGACGCACTTGTGACCATCTCTGTAGAGGCCTCCGGCTCCTCGGCAAGAACAGAAGCTAAACAGGCTCGACAGCCTCCGCGGGGCTGGGCTTTGTATACGGGTCTCACAACGGCTGATGTTTTAAACACTCCAGATCAAGGAGATGGGCAGTTTTCTGAGAAACAGAGTTTTCATTTAAAATAGACCTCCTCATCTTCTGGTCCACGCGGGAGCAGAAGGGAACTGCTAACAATAGTGCATCTGAAGTGCTGAGTGATCATAAGGCCGATAGAAAGACCCGTTTGTTGGAGAATTCATTTTAAGCGGGTTGCACAACTGGGGGGATGAGAGGGGGCGTGTGGGGCGAGGAGCGCTGGTGTCATTTGAAATGCCTCGTTCCCAGAATTATTTTGTGCGCTCTTTGGTAACTGAATAATCAGTCATCCTAGCTGAGCCAAAATGCGAGTTGGGACTTGGGACTTGTCAAAGGCAGAGTTAATCCAGTGGGTGTATCTAGGGGAGAAAGATTATCAAATTCTTGAGGATTGCTGCTGCAAATTGATGACTTGTATTTACCATAGCCCCTCTGCACAATCTGCACATCCTTTCCATTTCTCTTCTATATGGTTGATAAAATCTCAAGGTCTTGATCTTGCAAGCATTTACAGGGTCCTCCTCAGCAAACTGGGGCTTCTCCACTGTGTAACCTGGATCTGGGAACCAGAAGTAACTACTGGTTCCAACAGTTTATCCGCCCAGGTACCTGCTACTAGCATATGTGGTCTTTGCAGTAGTTGTCTGAAGCTGAGGCATGGTCATGGGGCTTAAGCTGCACTCATAAGGGAAAGCGTGACCCCACAGTTTGGGACTACACACGCTATAAAATCTTCTATTAGACCGTCTTTCCTAGAGAATCTCCACATGGCTCCAGTTGTTGTGTCCTACCATTGTCTGCAAACCTGAGGACTGCTATCTAGGAGATGCTCTCTTCTGGAAAGAGAGCACCGAGTCGAGTCCTAGTGAGAAATGTATTACATCTGTATTTATAGATTGCACATTACATGTCCTGGCCAGGATTTTAGCCTGATGCATCATATCTATGAAAATCCTACAGATTTCATTTTGGCTGTTATTCCTGTAATGTTTATTCTTCCATTAAACACTACTGATGGATCCTTTCCACAAGCTCACTTAAAAAAAAAAAAAAACACCTTTTTTTGCCCCCTCCTTTTTAATAAACCTGGTACACATAAATCCAGAAAAATCTAAGTTTCTTCTCTCTCTGTTGATGTGAAGCAAGTCTTCCTATTAGCTGCCTTTAGCATTTTCTTCATTCTAAAAAAAACAACCCAGGGATTGCTTCTCCTTTAAATATGTATGATTACAAATTTAACTCTCTTTGTAAAATGAGCTGTGCCACCTATGGAAATACTCTGCCATGTAAGGTGGCACCTGTGGAAATACCCTGTCATTTAAGGTTTTGTAACTTAAGTTTAAAAATTTGCAGGGCATTGAACTTGCTCAGTAACAACTTTCACTTTCCCATCAGTGTTTTCAGTCATAGTACCAGAACAATGCCTGAAGTAAACACAGACAGTCTCGATGAGCAGCAGGTGCAGCTCTTGGCTGAGATGTGCATCCTTATTGATGAAAATGACAACAAGATTGGTGCAGACACTAAGAAAAATTGCCATCTGAATGAAAACATTGAAAAAGGTAGTTTCAAATGTCTATCTTAAATTAATATCAGTGATTGTAATTTATCTTACAAGGCTTCTTTTGAGTAATACAATCTAACATATCTCCTCTCAAGTCTCTTCTTCAGTAATTGTCAGCTGGAAGCATAATTATGCGATTGAATTTCATTTCATATTTGGTAGAGCCAATTAATGATACTTCATAGTAGAATTTAGTAAGCTCCATTTATCTTCTAGCAGTTACTAGGAACACTTTTATTAAGGGAAAGGAAGAACAAGCCCATCAATTTACATGGGAGTTCTTATCTACGTCATTTCTTTATTCTGTTTCCATCACTGGGATCTGAGAACCTTCCAGAGTTGGTCTGGGATTTGAACAGCCTGTCCAGAACTATGAAAGGCTGAGCCTGGCCAGGAACAGGCCTCAGTAGGCTGTAGGGATGGGAACTGAGCAAGTTACACACCAGAGTAAATGAGGATAAGGATTTATAGCATGTCAGTTGCTCTGTAGTAAGTGCCTACGTGCATGCCCTTTGCGGTAAAGGGGGAGTGATATGCCCATAGCCCTCACACCCAAGCTATGGCCCTCCCCCCCAGCCCTGCTGCTGCCCTTCACCCCTGACCCACAGTACCCTGCATCCTGCCAGGGTGT